TCCCAATTCCTGCGTCGTGTTCCTATCTCCGAGCTTCATTGTCATCATTGTCGCGAGAAAAGGGGGTCATATTATTCTCGACTGCAGGCTGTTTGTTAAGCATCATGGGAACCCGCCGGAAGTTAACACGTTCGAGCAGCGATATGATGCGCCTCGCCATGAGCAGCCACGTCGTGACCGAGCTGTTTATGCTTCTCAACCGACTGATGTAGTTAGTGCTGGTGTGTCAGCGGCTGCGATTGAAGAACTGGTGAACGCGGCCTTGCAAAAATCATTACACAACGCCATCAGCTCGGCTTTCGCCACTCTCCAAGTGTCAGGTAATCGTATTCCATCATGGCTCCTCGATTCAACTTGTTTTAACCATATGACTAATGATGTTGTTCAACTTAACAATATTAAACCCATTAGTCATATGAATTTACGAGTTGCCAATGGTGAGAACTTAAAGGTTCATGGATTGGGTTGTGTTCGCCAGCCTAAGATTGAGCTTACTGTCACTTTACATGTCCCTAAACTAGTTCCCAACCTAGTTTCAGTTGGACAACTTACCGATCACGGGTGTTCGGTTACGTATGCTTCGTCTGGCTGTGTTGTGCAGAACCTGAAGATGGGGAGGCAGATAGGCCGTGGGAGTAAGAGGGGGCGGTTATTTCAGCTCGAAGAACTCATTAGTCCATCATCATATGCGTCCGAGCTGGGCAACGATTCTGGTAGCTCCGTCAATAGTCCTCTTGTCTTGCTGAGTCATTCCGTATCCAGTTTTTCGAGTTTTCCTAGTCTTTCTAATAATACCTGGGACTTGTCTCATTCCCGATTAGGTCATCCCGATTATGGTCGTCTGTTACAAATGTTTCTTCGGTCTTTGTTAGTCAAGAATAGTTTCACTGTTGCATCCAAACAAAACTGCACAAGCTGTGTTGAAGCCAAAACGATCAGTATATCTTTCCCCTTCTTCTGTGTTGTCTCGCAATGGCTATCGATATTTTTCCCTATTTGTTTATCACGCCACTAGATTTACTTGGCTATATTTTTTACGCCTCAAGTCTGAACTACAGGTCATTGCTGAGGAGTTTTTAAAAATGGTGCAAACACAATTTAATAAACCCGTCAAGATCCTTCGATCCGCCCCTGGAGGCGATTTTAGTTCAGCCCCTTTGTTGGCATTATATCGTTCTTTAGGCACCCTCTTTCAAAGTCATGTCCCAGTGTGTCACTGCAAAACGGTCTTGTTGAGCGGAAAAGTAGACATGTCCTCGAACTCACACCTGCCCTTCTGGTAGAGTCTTAGGTTCCTTCCCGATTTTGGCCAGAGGCTGTTGCTACCGCAGTGCGTCTCATCATTTACCATATCACTCTTGTTCTTAAACAATTCAGCCCATATTTTGCTTTGTACTCTCGTCACCCTGATTACTCACGTCTCCGGGGTGTTTGGGTGTCTGTGTTTTGTTTTTATGCAGAGAAAGAAATGTACTAAGCTTACTTCTAAAACCGCTCGTTGCGTTTTCTTGGGGTACAGTGATATTCATAAGGGTTATATTTTTTATGATCCTATCCTCCGCCGAGTCCGTATAGCTACCCTCGTTGTCTTCTTTGAACAGTTCAAGTTCTTTTCATCGGTTGAGTTTGCCCCTATGTTCCTTCCTCCTTTGTCTGTGCTGCCTGCATTTGATGATGATGATGTTGATAATGAAGACCTGCTGCCTCCTAATGATCCTCCCTCCCTAGCGCCCAATTTGCCTCCCACGCCACCGCACTCTCCGCAAGGTTCTCTAACCAGCTCGCCCTCTACTTCAAAGACTGATGCCATCTCACCTAGCTCCCTGGACAGCTCGCCGTCTGCCCATTCATCCTCGGCTGGGTCTTCTTCGGCGAGTACGTCCAGCTCTGGTGAGGATTCTCTTGAAGCTTCACCTCCTCCAAAGAAGCCTGCTTTTTGTCGTTCCACTCTCGCCACCCGAGGTCAGCCACCGCCTTAATTTGGTGAATATGAGTCGTATGGAGTTGAGGCAATTATAGTTCCTACTCGCTACAAGCAGGTTGCAGGTAATCTTATCTGGGATGCTGCAATGCAAATAGAAATTGATGCAGTACATGCCAACAAGACTTGGACGGTGGTAGATCGACCTCCTCCTGAGGTTCCAGTTATAGGATCTCGTTGACTGTACTCACTAAAAATGACCCCGACAGGTGAGATTGAACGGCCCAAAGCTCACATTGTGGCCCATGGGTTCTCGCAGGAGCAAGGGATTGATTTTGATGAGAGGTTCGCACCAGTTGCGAAGATGGCTACTGTCCGTACCGTGTTGGCGGTGGCTGCCCGTTAGCGGTGGCCTCTATTCCAGCTCGACGTTAAGAACGCCTTCTTGTACGGGGACCTGAAGGAGGTGGTTTATTTGAAAAAACCCACTGGTTATAATGTTGGCTTGTCGGGTCAGGTTTTTCTTCTTCACCGGTCACTGTACGGCCTAAGCAGACGCCTCGCACCTGGTTTGAGAAATTCTAGGCCACTATTTTATAGCTTGGCATGAGGTAGAATCTGAACGATCCCTCCCTTTTCACAAAGACGTCGGCAATAGGTATTGTTGTCCTCCTTTTATATGTTGATGACATGGTGGTGAGTGGGGATGATGTTCGTGGGACTGACAATCTCAAAAGTGGGTTACAGCAAGCGTTTCACTTGAAAGATCTAAGAGAATTATCATACTTCCTTGGTCTCGAGATAACTCGCAATGCTCACGGCCTTCTCATCAGTCAACGAGTATATTGGTGATTTACTATCTGATCATAACTTCGAGAATTGTCAGCCTGCTAGCATTTAAAATTAAGCTGTGAATATGGAGATCTTCTATATGATGGGTCGAGTTATAGGAGTTTGGTCGAGAGTCTGATTTATTTTGCAGCTACGCGTCCAGATATTTCGTATGCAGTCCAGATCGTGAGTCAGTTCATGGCAGCTCCTCGCTGTGATCACTTGGCTGCGGCTCACCGGATACTCCGCTACCTCAAGGGCACCCAGGATGTTGGTATGTTCTTCCCTGCTATTAGTACTCTAGACCTGCGTGTGTTTTCGGATTCTGATTACACTCGTCGGTCTATGACGGGATGGTGTGTTCAGTTTGCTGGGGCTTTCGTTTCTTGGCGGTGTAAGAAGCAGAACAAGGTCTTGAAGTCGCCTACCGATACCTGCGTACGGATGATCAGATTGCAGACATATTTACTAAACCGTTTACCAGTTCCCGACATTGGGCGACCTCGGCTTCTCCTGCTCCCTGTCGCTCGAGCTGTTTGCCGATGATACCAGCGCCATTCAGATCGTGCTTAATCATGTACTTCATGATCGCACGAAGCATATAGAGCTCCATGTTCATTACGTACGAGACTTGGTGCGGGATGACACTGTTCAGCTCCAATACCTGTGTACTTATGATCAGATTGCAGACATATTTACTAAATCGTTTACCAGTTCCCGACATTGGAATCTCTCAAGAAAATTGATGCTTCGTTCCCGGCATCACTTTGGGGGAGGCTGTTAGTGGATTAATCTTGTAATTACTGGGCCAACGATGTTGATTTATATTTAGTGGATAGTTGGCCCAAGCCCATACAACCCATGCACAGCTCGTGTAGATGCTAGGGTTGCTAGTGCATATTTGTTCCCTCTGTACCCGACAAAACTCTCTACGAAAAACCTGGTACGATTTGCTTTGGAGAGCTTGACTCTCTCGTGGATTAGTCCTGGTAGTCCAGGGACATAGGCGGAGGGAGACATAATTGGATGTGTCCTGGGACACACCCAACTTCTGAGGGTTAAAAAAATACCCCCATATATGTCTACACCACGTTTCGAACTGATGATCCCAGCATCATAAAGAATCGTTCCACCGCTACACCACAAGCAATACTTGATGTATAATTCAACATAAATGCTATTTAATCAGAGTAAAAACAAAATCCCTAATTAAAACCCCTAATCAGTTTGATACCCACTCGGCTGCGCATATCAATTTCTCAGCCAACAAACGCGACTGAAGGCTGAAGCTGCGACCCGGCGACTCGACTTCCCTCGATCCTCCTGCCCGGTGACTGCGTCGTTGCTCTCGTCGACGGGTGGAGACCGCCGGCCTAGCCTCCTCAGCTCCTCCTCCTCGCTCAGTTCGTCGCCTCCTCCTTCCATCCTCTAGCAAGCGGCGACCAGCAGCAGTAAGTTCGTGGCTAGTCGCCTCCTCCTTCCATCTTCTAGCCAGCGCAGAGGCCTGGCCTCCTTAGCTCCTACTTCAGTCCTCCATTAGCGGCGAGCCGGCGAGCAGGACGGCAGGACTAGCAAACTCTAGCTGCAGGCGGCGGCAACAACTTCTGTTTAGGTTAGAACCAATCATCTTTTCAATTTGGGAGTTTTTAATTAGCATACTAGGAGTTTTTAATTTGGTCTTTTTCAATTTGGGAGTTAGAACCAATAATTCTTTTCAATTAGGGGCAACCGAGCAATAATTCTTTTCAATTTTGGAGTTTTTAACCTCTGATTCTGTTTTTTCTTTGCAAATCAGGTTTGACTCTCTCTAAGGTCTCTAATATGAAGAGGTATTATTCAAAGATCAACACTTCTCCAATTTTTTCAACCCAAGATGTTGAAGGAAGTGGAAGTATACAAGCCCAAACTTTTCCTCCTTCGACAGTTGTGGCTCCTTCACAAATCCAACAACTGAATCCCTCGTGTTCGATAAATCAAACTACTCAACAAAGTGACTCTTCGTCTCAAGAAAGTGAGTCTTCCTTTACCTCTGAAGAAGGCAAGTTTGATGTGAATTCATTGACAAGGGATCCCGGATTAAGAGATAAAGTTTCTAATTTTCATCCTAATGTACAAGATGAAGTAAGGAGGTTTTATCTTGAAAATGGTCCATGTCAACCTAAAGGTCATATCTTCCCATATAGTGACTTTAGTGGAAAGAGACGCAGATTTCATTCGTCTTGATATTCAGAAAGATCTTGTTCATGCAATGGCTTGTGAAACTACCAAGAAAATTATTGAAGATCTAGGAGATGACTTTTTTTGCATATTAGTTGATGAGACTCGTGATGCTTCAACCAAAGAACAAATGGCCATTGTTCTACGTTATGTGAATAAGGATGGCTTTGTTTTGGAGAAGTTTCTTGGTACTTCTCATGTGGCAAATACCAAATCCTTGACACTTAAGGGGGCAATTGAAGCTATGCTTTCAAAACATGGATTGAGTATGTCAAGAATAAGGGGACAAGGCTATGATGGAGCTAGTAACATGAAAGGGCAAATCAATGGGCTGAAGAGTTTGATCTTGGCTGAAAATTCTTCTGCTTATTACATTCATTGTTTTGCACATCAGCTTCAGTTAGCTCTTGTTGCTGCAGCTAGGAATCATCTTGAAGTTGGAGACTTTTTCAAGACTGTCAATGCTGTGATTAATTTGATTGGAGCATCTTGCAAAAGATCTGAGTTTATTCGGGATATCCAAGTTGAGAAGATTGCTGAGGCTATAGCTACTAATGAACGAGAGACTGGAAGAGGATTGAATCAAGAAATGGCTCTCAAAAGACCAGGTGATACTCGTTGGGGTTCTTATTATGGGGCGCTTATCAATTTGGACAGCTTGTTCTCTGCTATTATTGATGTGTTGGAGACAATCCAGAATGACCGAACTTCTGAACCAGAAACAGCTTCTGATGCATGGCGCATTTCTATTACACTTCAAGATTTTAGCTTTGTCTTCATTTTGAAGTTGATGATTGAAGTGTTAGCTATTACAAATGAGTTATCACTAGCATTGCAAAGGAAAGATCAAGACATTGTAAATGCCATGAAACTTGTTCGTGTAGCAAAGGCAAGGTTACAAGAGATGAGAGACAATGGATGGGAGCCTTTGCTTGATGATGTAATTTCGAGCTGCACTAGAGACACTATTCCCATTCCTATTATGCATGCTTTGTATATTCTTCCAGGACGGTCAAGGCGCAGAGCTCCAGAGATCACAAATCTACATCACTTTCAAGTTGAGTTGTTCTACAAGGTTGTGGATATGCAGTTGCAAGAGTTGAATAACCGCTTTGATGAGGTGAACACTAGACTGTTGATTTGTATGGCTTGTTTTAGTCCGGAGAATGCATTTGCTGCTTTTGACCAGGAGAAGCTGTTATGTCTTACTAGATTTTATCCTGCTGAGTTTGGTTCGATTCATGATACTATCATTCGACAACAGCTTATTGGGTATTATCATGATGTTATGGCTGACGAGAGATTTGTCGGACTGAAAGGAATTGATGAATTATCTCAAGTTATGGTGAAGACAAAAGTGCATCAGTCATATCCGTCAGTTTATTTACTTCTGAAGCTAGTTTTGATATTACCTATTGCAACTGCAAGTGTAGAACGCGCATTTTCAGCTTTGAGCTATATTAAGAACAAGCTCCGAAGTCGAATTGGTGACCAGTTTGCTAATGACTGTTTAGTTGGATACATTGAAAAAGACTTGCTTAAGAGTGTAACGAATGTATTTTGCATTTCTTTCAGAATATGAAATCGCGTCGTGGTTGTTTATGAGAACAACGATTGTATTAGACGGTTATTTCTTTATTATCTATAAATGAACTATTTGCATATTATAGTTTTAATTATAATTATTAAATAATTAATTTATTATTTATATATTTATATTTTGGGAAGAGGACACAGGCACTTTTGAATCCTGCCTCCGCCACTGTCCAGGGATACCACGTTAAATATGTGTGTCTGTCCATCGTTATTGTTATTTGATTTGATTCGTGAACACAAACTAGCAATTTACCAATAAGCCTACTGTTAACAAATTGCACTTTGTCAAGTAACATACCATTCACTGACAGTGAATTGCTCATAAACTTATCAACCATTCACAAACTCGATGTATCCTAATTCTGAAAAACTGAAAAATATAAAAAGTAGTGATGACACTTTTGATCTAATCCTGTTGACTGCTTGATGAGATATTGGGATGCTACTAAAAATCCAATCATGCAAATCCAAATTCCAAAGAGAGACATTGAACCATGAGGATTGGTCATGTACACTTAGACCCTGAATTTGGCAACTTGCAGTACTAATCAGTAAAAAGGCTACTCCGTCCACATATACTGACATGAAATAAAAGCTTTATCCTCTCCCAATTAGATTTTCTTCTTCATCATCATATTATCAATCATCCACTCCACCAAACTGATTGTATCTATCAATACAATTTCTTCTACCAAATTCATTAGTCAAAAGAACGCAGAAAGCGAGTAACAAATGGAACTAACGTAACAGTAATAAAAGAACAGACAAGTGGGGTTTTTTTGTTCTGGAAAGGCTAAAATTTTAAAGGTGTGACGGGATGAGATTTGTTTAAAGTGATGCTTTACATCTCTTTTTGGGATTTAATGTTTTTTTTTAAGATATTTTGCTCCATCATCGTTCAAGAGAAACATGGATAGCTCTTATATCACTTTCAATATTCTTTCTAATCAATATATTGCCCGCAATAGATTAAGCCCCACACGGTTATTCTTTTGGTGTATCACGATGACCTATCAAGATGCCACTCATATATACATTGCCACATCGTGAGCACGTCTCTGTTTCACAAAAAAAAAACACTTCATGTCAGTTAAAGTTATATTATTTCTTATGATCCACGATTTTCGCTCGTGTTTTATAGATACGAAATTTGTCATAAATGTTGCAAGTAATTTTTTTTCTCATGATAATGTTATAAGTATTCCCATCTAACCCCGTTAGTATCTTTGTTTTCTTTTTTTATAAGACTCGTTAATAATTTTATGAATGGTGAAATAAACACAAAATAAACAAACACAATGCAGCGTTAATATTCCAATTACTGATTAGACTTACGCTTGTATCTCGAGAACGGATCAGGTCAGTAACTTTATGGTGAGTAACTATGAGTAACCCGCCCACATCAGCATGACATCAGCATCCTCTCTCTCCTGGAAAGCTTTTAATTTTCCCCTCCTTAATCTTTGACGGACGATTTCTCACTCGTTTTAAGTCGAAATTTAATTTTTTTGCACAGCTAGATCAGATTAATTGTCCTCTTCAAAATGATATCCACTTTGATATATTTTTCGAACAAAAAAAATTGAGTCATTTTATACTAGTCTATACCATATGGTATTGACTGGTATTGAAATAAGAGCATACCTATGGTTTGAAAAGCGTACCATGGTGGTATGACACAAACCAAAACTGTAGGATGGTTGAATACATGATAGTAGAAGTATATTAATTGTCATTTACGACTTTTAACATTGTATACCATAAGATATCATAAGATACCACCCCGTACTAGGGTGGTATTGTATGGTATTGTGTGGTATCTTTTTGTCTTGTAATTTGTTCATCCAGAAATTTGTAGATCCAATAGATCATGATGAACTCGTCCCTTCTGTGCAAACGTTTTCAAAAACGAATTAAAAACGAAGAAGATACCATATGGTATGCAGTTGGTACCGAGAGGCCAGAATCTTTTTTTCCTCAAAAAATATTGAAAATTGATCTCATTTTGTAGAGCAAGATGAACTCGTTCCATATGTGCAAAAAAAATTAAAATCCGAGTTAAAACGAAAAAGATCTGAGTCAATTAAGAAAACTAGTAAAAATAAAAATGGCCTTTAATTCTCCATCCTTAGATCTGAATTTTCTAAATGAAGGGTCCAGATTTGGTTATTGATGGGTGCATAACCCATGGTTATGCACCCTAACTTGAGCCCTGTATCTCACGCCGAGCCAACATCTATAATTTCGGCTTGATAAGCACTTGGCTATCGTGAAACCGGCACGAGCATCACTTTCACAGGTCCATCATCCATAAGTAGGGCTGGAAGTTTGGTACCGGTATTTGGGATATACCGAATACCGTATCGAATTTGTCTATATTTGGTATTATCGAATACATGTATTATTTCTTGGGATTGAGATTGAGATTGAATTTCAATTGTTATTCGGTATTAGGAATTACAAGATTGGGATTGGTATATACCTAAATACTGATCAATACCGAAATATAAGCTACTGTGTATTTTATCCTCTCAACTAGACTCTCTCGTTCACTACTACACGACCCTCAACCACCAAGAGTGTTATTTAATTATACATAGATCATTCGTCAAATTAACGATTACCAATGACAAAAACTTGAGATGTCTCCTCTCCTCTATTCTCCTTAATAATATCATAATTAAATACTCTTTGCTTAGTCTTTCCCCCCTAAATTAAACAATAAAATATAATTTATATATTTAATTATTAATTGCAAAGGTAATTAATTTTGTATTCGGTAATACCGATTGGATACCGAAATATTTAGAGATTGGGATTAGGATACCGAAATTATTTAGGAATTGGGATTGACTTTAAGGTGTAATTCGGTATTCGGGATTTCGGTATTTGGTATTGGGATACCGATACCGTACTGATTTCCACCCCTATCCGTAAGGGCTCGAGATACGGTGCATAACCATGAATTATACACCTATCAATAACTAAATATGGACCAGAAAATTCAGATCTAAGTATAGAGAATTAAATGTCATTTTTATTTTCCCTTGTTTTCTTAATCGGCTCATATTTTCTTCGTTTTAACTCGGATTTCAAATTTTTTTTTTTTTGCACAGATGGAACGAGTGAGTTGTGCTCTACAAAACGAGATCCATTTTCAATATATTTTTAGAAAAACAAATTCTTGCATCTCGATACCAACTGCATACCATATAATATCTTTCATTTTTAATTTGTTTTCAAAATTTTTTGCACAGAATGAACGAGTTCATCATGATCTATTGGATCTACAAATTTCTGGGTGAACAAAATACATGACCAAAAAATATTACACAATACCACCCTGTACGGGGTGGTATCTTGTGGCACACAAATCTAAAAGTCGTAAATGATAGTTAATATACTTCTACTATCATGTATTCAACCATCCTACAGTCTTGGTTTTTTCATACCATCATAGTACGCTTTTCAAACCATAGGTATGCTCTTATTTGTTTCAATACCAGTCAATACCATTACCATATGGTATAGACTGGTAAAAGATAACTCAATTTTTTGTTCAAAAAATATATCAAAGTGGATATCATTTTGAAGAACACAATTAATCTGATTTAACCATGCAAAAAAAAAAATCGACTTAAAACGAGTGAGAAATCGTCCGTTAAAGATTATGGGAAAAATTAAAGGTTTTTTAGGAAAGAGAATGGACACTGATGTGGCGGATGGTGATTAGATTATGCATAATTATTGACCAGAAGGTTATTGATCGGATCTACTCCCGCTGGCCGTGGACCAGTATTGATTCTTACATACTATATATGACAAATTCGTCTGTGAGCGCGCGGCTGCGGGAGGGCTTGTCGTCTCAGTTAAAGCTTCAGCCATGCACGTGACAAACCCCAAGCTTGTCCCACAAAGTTCATTTTCTCTGAGCTTGTCCTCAAATTAACGAATGGAACAACACAAGACTAAGCCGAAATGCCGAGAGATGAGATGACAGACGGAGGCCGCAGCCCTGCAGGAGGGCAGCAGATCATGTGTGACTCTCTGGGTTTTGTGTCATGCGTAGCAGATCATGTTATTCATACACGTTTGGATTTTTATTCTTGAATCTTGTTTTGTTTCTTGCTTTCGAATCCTCCGATTACCCAATCCGTAGAAATAATCGCCACACATTTAATAAACAATATATATGAGTTTTGGAAGCAAGGTGGGGGAGGGAAGTTTGGTCACTGTAAAAGCACGCCACCGCCGCGCGGTGGTTTGTCCGGTAGGGATCAGGCAAGCCCAGCCAGTGGCCACAAACGATGCATCACGTCAATGTCGTTCAGAGCTGTGGGGTAACAGCCTTTGTTTTGATAAAATTGTGTACTACTACTCGTTGCCAATAGGTTTCTGAATTCTGTAGGTGATTTTCGTTTCAAATAAAATAGTGACAAATGATATAAGATTTAGTTCCGAATATTATTTTTATGTATCTAAGAAAAACTGTGGACCATAATAGAGGCAACCTTGTTGGGAATTATGTGAATAACATGATTTCTAAGTATTTCTACAACTCTCAATAATTTTGTCAGTTGGATGTTCATCATTTACCATTACTCCTCTAAGAAGTTGGAACATGAAAGGAAAATCCAAGCTAGAGCTCAAAGCAAGGATATCACGATAATCAATCAACTTGTGAGAAGTGTACTCATAAACCAACTCTTCTCAATAACTTGATTATTTAGAAGAAGGTTATTATATATGAATTTTATGTCGCTCTTTTACACGTCTCATCAAATGAAAGTTAACTCACAGGGTTGAAGTTTGCACGGACCCACCATACCTTGTGCTTTAATCAACTTTTGGTATTTGGCGTCGTGGAGATTTTGGCACACGACCACTTGCCCAAACGTGCTATGATACCATGTCATAAACCAACTAGTTACATTCTATAACTCGAATTGTTGAAAGAAGGTTAATTATTATTAATCTTATACCACT